CTGCAAGGGATTTTGAAGTATTTTTCTCCTGAATGGATTTTGCCTGTAGCATTCCTTTACTTATGAATGGAGCCATTTGGGGAGGCTTCCTTAGCCAGCAGCCATACTTACTACATTTATTTTTCTTCCTTAAGTGCCCACTGCGCTCCTTAACTTTCCTTTCTAGCCAGTAGCTAATTCTTAAAGGGGAATGCGCCTTCTTAAGCTAGTTCCCTCAATGGTTTGTCTTTTCTGTCTCTGGAGGTTTTCCTTGTTCAATGAATATATGGAAGAGGGGAAATGGGGGGGGGGTCAAATTCTTCCTTCAGAAGGAGATGGGAATGAGAAAGAGGGAGGCAGGGAAGGAAGGAGGGAGGAAAGGAAGTCCCGCCTTAGCACTTGGCCATTTGCCAATGACTTTGCTTGTCAAAAGGTTGCAGAAGGGGATCACATGACCCTGGGACACTGTGACCATCATAAATATGAATCCGTTGCCAAGCATCCAAATATAAAGCACATGACCCTGGGCCTGCTGCAATGGTCATAAGTGTGAAAAGTGGTACAGTCGGTGAAAAGGTTGAAAAGCCCTGGCTTACAGCATTAAAACATTAAAATCGCAACAGATAAATATTTTTATAGCAACCAAAATGGAATTCCCAGTCAAGATAAAATTATAGTTAAAAGAATAGGAGGAACAGGACGTGTGAGGGGGGAGGGGGGATTGCCTCTGAATTCAACAACTACCTCCAGTGTGAGGGTCCCCATTGGGACCCCCTGATTTTGAGCCAGATTTCACCTAATCTGTACTTGAACCTTTGCCTTTTTCTGCTCAGGTTCCCCCCCCCTAACCTCTCCCTGCAGCCGTCTGGCCTCCCTCCCAGCCCCATTTCCCCTGGGGAAGGAGGTGGGGAGGGGTCCGACCCTCCTGCCTGGGATGGGGGGGCAGGGAGGGGTCTAGGACAACTTGCATAATATGGAAGAAATGGAGAAAGAGAATCAGGAAAGGAAGGAGGCCGAGGGAGGAAAGAAATGAAATGTGAAGGACAAAAATAATAAAAAAAACATTTTTAAAATTATTTTAAATAATTGAATAAAATTGTTGAATTGTCCTGCAGTGAGTTGCCCCATTCCGGACAGGGAGGGTGGAAAGGATCTGGGGGGGAGGGGATCTTGGGGAAAGGGAAGGTGGGGGCAGCTGGTGGCTGAGGAGATCAGGCAGATCCCAGGATCACAGAACAGCCTTTGAAGGGATCCCTCTTGATCTCCTCCTTCAGCAAAGGGCACAACTCTTGGGTGGATTAATGGGGGGCTGAGTGAGCCCCCCAAGTGGGTCCTCCATAGAGCCACTCCAGCTCAGAGAACTTTTGCTAATCCCTTTTTCTGGGATTCTCTTATGAACAGCTAATTATATAACGTTTAAGAACATGCAATTTTCAAAGGTTTGCTTATCTGTAATTTAATCCTGGGATCTGGTCGGGATTTTTTTATGAACAGTTAATTATCCTCCTAGGTCTGCAGGGAAGAATTTAGGAGTAAAAATGAATTCCAGACTGAATATGCAGAGAACAAAATTGGATGAACGAATGACTAAAGAATAAATATATATATATATATAAAATAAAATAAAATATAAAGAATAAAAAGAACTAAAAGAGGGATAGGGCACAGCAGACGAAAGAGCCTTCCCTGATTCCCTTTTCCAGACCTTTGGAAGTTCACTTTTTATTCTAAAATCCCAAAGGCCCCAGAGGTGAAGGGAGCCCCTCCCCCATTCCTGGCCTTCCGGAAAGGGGTGAAAAGGGGGCTCTGGGGCTTTGCTTGGGGGGCACAGAGGAGGAGGCAGCCGTGGGGCCGGTCAGCCTCCTGAAGCCCCCCCCCTTTTCATGCATTTTTATCACTGCATTGTAATCATTCCTCCCTTTTAAATCTTAAAATGTATAGACTATTTTGGTGGTTTTATATCTTATGTGTATACCATGCAAAGTCCCTCTGTGAGAGAGAGAGACGGTTTTAAAAGTTGATAAGTAAATCAATCAATATTATTTAATAAAAATATTATATTGAAATATTATATAGCATATACTATAGATTATTATTGAAATATATCTTTATACTGGGCAAGAGAGAGACTTTGCCGGATTCCTCCCCCCCCCCCCAAGAAAAATATAATATTTGGTATAATGTACTGGAAAGGAGTTTTTCTGAGCAGGGGAAACTTTGGACCGTGGGAAGAGAAGGAAGATGATGGGACCGATGGGAAGGAGAGGCATCTCTTTCTTCCCTTTGGCATGTTTCATTGTCACCGTTGTCAAATTTCAAACTTTTTAACAGCAATTTAATTTTTGACCTTATTTTTTATACACTTTTATTTAGGGGCGATGTTATATCCTGCGCCATCCAGAGCCCCGCTTTGAGGGAGCTGAAGGGATTAGGAGTATCCACAACTATCAATAAATAAGAATGAATAAATTTCGTAGATCGGAAAGCACAAATCTTTCTCCGGGAGAGTCCTAATAAATGAAATGAAAAGGGGGGGTCCCTGCATTCCCCCCCCATGGAACTCCCCCTCCCCCACTCACCTCTCCGGCCAAGCACAGAATTGCTCTGGGAAACCTGGTAGGCGTGTCGGCAGAAGAAATCCACGGCGGCCTTCGCGTTCTGCAGGATGCGCTTGTCTCGGTTCCAAGCCTGGGCATCCTCCTTCCCCAACGCCGTGACGGCCTCGAACTCCCCGCGGTCACTGTCAAAGCGGACGAACTCCTGCCGGCCGTAGAAGTACCTGTCCAGGAACCTCACCTGCCGCGTCCCGTTGAGGAAATGGCACTCGGACTTCGTCTGGTACAGGAAATGGCCTGCGGGGAGGAGGAGGAGGAGGAGCGTCAGGAGGGACTCCAGGACCCATGGTTCCCAGCCTCCCCTTGAGGAGGGACACGGGCTTGTCAGAGGCGGGGAGGGAAACCTGCCGACGGAGACTGTCGGAAGGCGCCTCCTGGAAGAGGGATGGGGAACCGTCGGCCCCAGCGGGATCCCCCCCTTGGTGGGGGTCTGGAGGGGGGAGGAAAATGAGGGAGGGGCTTCCTGAGGGACCCCCCTCCTCCTCCCGAGGGTGGAAAAAGGCAGGCAGAAGTTCAGCTGGTCCAGCACTCGGTCTACCTGTCTGCAAGGAATGTGGGATCCCGGTGGGGCCTCTTTTCTCCCCCCCCCAAAGCGACGGGAAATATGGGGGGAGGGATGAGACCCCCTAGGAATCTCTGGGCTGGAGGGAAAGTAAGATCCATGCTTCGCTCTCCCTCTTCCTTTCGGGGGGGGTTGGGGAGGGGACACAATCAGGATATCCACACCCATGCTCCTGGCCTCTCCCCGCCCTTCAACCCCCACCTCCCCTGGGTACCCTAAAATTTCCTTCTCCCCACATCTTCAGCCCCACTAGCAGGCTCTGGGTGATTTTCAAGGCTTCTTTCCACTCCCACTCCCCAATAGACCCCCCCGCAGCCCCCCAAGACCCTCTCAAAGGGAAGGGCTCCAGCCCCCTTCACTAAAGGGATAGTTTTGGGGAGCCAATTTAGGGGAGCAATTCAGACCCCCCCCAATATCCTTCTCCCTCAGTTTCCCCCTCCCCTCCAGGTCCCGATTCAGCAATGGGGGAATATGGAGTGGGGGGTTCCGAGTCTCCTCCCCAAATTCAGAGTCTCCCCCAAGAAGGAATCCAGCTCAGCTCTTCCGTCCCCTAAAAAAAAATGGAGATTCAGAAGAAAAAACTGAAGTTGCAAGAACACTTTTGCTAAAAAGCGTCTTTTTTTCTTATACTCTTTGGTGGCCTTTGTGGATTCAGCTCTGAAAGTGCCTCACTTTCCCCCTTTCGCTTTCGCTTTCCGTCTCCTTCCTCTTTCGGTGCAAGAAGCTTCGGGGCTCGGGCGCTAATTCGGGGTCCGCAAGGTCCCCCTCCCACCCAGCCACGGGGGGAGGGGCGAGAGAGGGGGTCCAGGTGCCTCTTATCCCACCTGGGCTGCCTTCCCGCGACCCCCGCCCCACCTCGGCCACAACAAGGGGAGGGGGCTCCCCCTTCATCCTGCGGGGGGGGGATGAGGCGAGGGAGGAGCGGAGACCACGCGGAGATCGAGGCTCCCGCAGTCTCCCGTCTCTCTTGCCCTCGACCCCTTTCCCCACTTCTGGGGTCCCGGCCCCTTTCTTCCCCCCACCCCAGAGGCTCTGACGGCCCCTCCCAGCCCCTCTCCTCCCTCGACGAGCCCCCTCCTTACCGGGGGTCTCCTTCCCCCCTTCGCCTCCGGGGATCCGGGCCAGCGCCCCCGCCAGCAGCAGCAGCAGCACCAGGGGGAGCCCAGCGGAGCCCATGGAGGCCGCCCCACAAGCGCCCCCAGAGAGACGAGAGAGAGAGAGACGCGGAGGCTCCCAGCCCCAGAGGCGGAATAGATGGGTCTGGATTGGGGGGAGGGGGCGTTTCCCTCGAACTTCGGACCTGGGAGGGCTCAGGAAAGCGGAGGGACCAATGGGATTTCTCCCCTCTGCAGCGTCATCGGTCTCCGGGCAGAGCCTCCCTCGACTTCGCCCGATGGAGGAGATAGTTCGGCGCAGAGAGAGAAGCGGAGAAAGTGGGAGGGGGGAACAATCCCTTCAGTCGGGGTGGGGGGAGCTGCATTTTAGGGGGGGGGTCATGCCAGCTCCGGAGGGGAGGGAGGACTTCCTTTTGCGGCCCCCCCTCATGATTTTCAACCAGAGCTTCCTTTTCTCTGTGTGTCTGGAGGGGTGGACTAGATGCCCTTTCCCTCAACCACCCCCCTGCAGTGTGGGCCTGCCTGGGGGTGGGTGGGGGGGCTGAAAAGGAAAGGGTGGGGAAGCGTGTGTGTGTTTTTCCCCCTGTGTAGACTCTCCACAAATAGCTTATTTACACCAAAAGTTTTATTACGTATTTTAATTTTCGTCTTTTTTTCCCCACAGACTTAACTCTGCCTTCAGATGCAAAAAGATATATATTTTTGGTTTTCAATAGCTGATGGATTTCTTTTTCTGCCAATTCTGCCAAGATGGAAGGTTGAAGGTGGCAGATTGACGGCTGGACCTTCTCCTGCTCCTGCTTCCGCTCAGGGGAGGTAGAGGCCATCTAGTCTGGTCCAGGCTTGCTTGCCATCACACACACACACACACACACACACGGTTCTCTCCTACTCAGCGGAGACCCCCCACTCACAGCAACCACTGCAACCATCCAATCACTTATCTGGAATAGTATCGGTTCTGCTTGAGCAGCGGGGCTGGACTAGAGGACCTCCAAGGTCCCTTCCAGCGCTACTCCATTCTTTAAAAAATCTGCTTAACTCCAAATCCAAGGCCACCAGATCCAGGAAGATCCCCAGATGCCCCAGATCTAGCAGCCCCCCCCCCCCCATATTTAGGTCTCAGCTCAGGCTCTGCTGAACAGGCATGCAGGTGTACAAACACACACACACACACACACACACACACACCCCTGAGGCCTTTTTCCAGGACAGCCTGCTCAGCTCCACGGCTGCCCCACACAGTCCGAAGCCCCGTCCCTCTGGGACAGCGGAGACTCCCAGACTCTTGCACAGCCCGGGATGCTGCTGAGGGGGTCCCCCACTTCGTGTCCAGGATGGGGGTCCCAGTCCTGGCCTGTCAAAGTGCCCCCCCACCGGAGCTCACCCCCCCCGCTCAGAAAAGGGCTCGGGCGATCCTGCGGCCGGTGGCTTTGATCTTGGGGAAGGTGGCGCAGATGTCCATCTCTCTGGCCCGGGGGCTCCTGGGCGGGGGGGTCGGAGGGGGCGTCTTCCTGGGCGCCCCCTTGGGCCGGAGCAGGAAGTCCACGCTGAAGCCGTTCCTGGCATAGAAGACGTTGGCCATGGGGGGGAAGACCAGCTCTGCGGGAGAGAGGAGGGGGGGAATCAATGGGGGGGAGCCCCACCAGGAAGGCCCTGCCCTCCTCCCCAGCGCCCCTAGACACCCCTCCAGTCAAGCCTCTTCCCCCCCCCCCGCGACAGACCAGCTTCATAGCACCCAAGTGGTCACGATGTAGGCAGGTTCCCATTCTCAGAGCTGAATTTGAATACAGGACCTCCTATTGTCTCGAGTGTGCAGAGATAATGGCTTTACGGAATCAGGTTTGCAGGGACCCCAGCATGCCAGGCCCTTTCTTTCTCCCCTCCCCCCATTATTTAATTTAATTACTTAATTTCATTGTGAAATTCTATTCTATTCCTTTTTCTATTCTAGAATAGAATATAGGATAGGGCAGTATAGGACAGAACAGAATATAGAATAGAATAGAATAGAATAGAATAGAATAGAATAGAATAGAATAGAATAGAATAGAATAGAATAGATATTCTATTCTATTCTATTCTATTCTATTCTATTCTATTCTATTCTATTCTATTCTATTCTATATTCCACTGATGGCAAACCTTTTAGAGACCGAGTGCCCAAAAGCTGGCCCCGCCCCCACCCCACCTGCCGCAGGGCCACTCACCGCCTCCAGGGCCCACCGCAGATCGCCCAGGCAGCCCCATGGCGGCCATACCCTCTGCCCACGCCCTGCAGCATCAACTGTGCATGATGGGGCATGAGGGCAGAGTCTTGTCTACGCTGCCTGGCTGCCATGTCCTTGGCTGCGCTGCTCCGCGTGGGCCACGCTCAGAGGCAACTCTCCTCCAGGGAGGCTGCTGGTGAGGAGGGGTCGTGGGCAGAGGCGAGGCTGGGGCAACGGCACGTGTGCCCACAGAGAGGGCTCCGAGTGCCGCCTCTGGCACCCGTGCCATAGGTTCGCCACCACTGCTATATTCTGTTCTGTCCTATACTGCCCTATCCTATATTCTATTCTGTTCTGTCCTATCCTATCTTTTATTCCATTCCATTCTATTCTATTCTATGTCATTCTATATTCTATTCCATTTTCTATTCTATTATATACTAGCTGTCCCCGGCCACGCGTTGCTGTGGCTCAGTCTGGTAAAAGCGTGTGTTGCTTTTATGTCCAACAGAGGGCGCTGTTTTTCAAAAAAAGCATGTTTTTACCTGTCACAGGTGTGACATCTATATAATATAGGTATATAAAAACACGCGCGTATTTGAATGCAACGTTGTGTCAAAATTTCAAAGCAATTGGTGAAGAACTTTTGGAGATTTAAGATTTTGAACAAACGAACGTTTACATTTTTATTTATATAGATTTCTATTCTGTAATTCCTATTCTATTCTATTCTATATTCTGCATTCTATTGTACTATTCTATTCTACTCTTAATCTACTCTTATTCTATTCTATATTTTTATTCTGTTCTATTCTGTTCTATCTCTATCCCTATCTCTATTATAAAGGGCCTCCAGACCAACCAGCCTCATGGGGCATCCAGGCCAGTCCCAACAAGAGGATCCCCCCCGTCTCCAATACTCACCTCGGCCGTCTGGCAACAGCTGCACCAGCTCGTAGTCCTGTGCCAGATCCTGGTCCTGGTTGTGTTTCTCCAGCACCTTTGCCACCACGGTGGGTGCCTTATCCTGGCTGGTCACCTGGGGAGGGACACAGGAAAAGGGGCTCAGCCCACCCACCCCATTGATGCCCCCCCCTCCACAGGCAGAATTGCCACCCAGCGCTTGCCAAGTGGGATCAGCACCCATCCCAGACTTGGGTCTCCCCTGTCAGCAGCCTTTCCAGGGACCTCCAAGTGGAATGGAGGCCCGGCCGGTCGGAGAAAAGGCTCAGCCCCACTTGCCAAAAACCTGGAACTCAGCCAGGATGGACCGAAATCCAGAGAGCTGAACAGACGGTGGTTTGCTCAGTTTTAAAATTTTTAGTTGCTTTTTATTTATCTTTTTACGGTCTGTAAGCTGTCCACCCTATCAGGGAGATAGACGGCATATAAATTGAATAATTTATATGCCACCAGAGGGGGGGCTTGATATATGCCGCTGGAGGGGGGCTTGATTGAAGAGTTTAATTAAAAAGAAATAGAGGGTACTGTGCATGTGTTCTCTCTTTCTCTCCCTCCCTCCCTCTCTCTCTCTCTCTCTCCTCTCCCTTTCCTCTCCCCCCTTTCTCCCTTTCTCTCTCTCCCTCTCTCTTTCTCTCTTTCCTCTCCCTCTCCCTCTCTCTTTCCTCTCTCTTCCCCTCTTGCTCACCTGGCAAGCTGGCTTCATGCTGTTCTCTGACAAGCTGACACACATTCTTATTGGGCTGGCTCTCTCCTGCCCTTGGCCTGCCAGTCCTCTTCCCACACTCTGTGTGTGTGTGTGTGTGTGTGTGTGTGTGTGTGTGAGAGAGAGAGAGAGAGAGAGAGAGAGAGAGAGAGAGAGAGAGAGAGAGAGAGAAAGCTGCTGCTTTCTGCTGCTTCCTGCAGAGATGCAGCAAAGGCAGGAGCCCCGCCCAATAAGCTCGTCAGCTTGTCAGAGAACAGCGTGAATCCACTCTCTTTTACACACACACACACACACACACACACACAAACAGAGAGAGAGATGCTGCTTTCTGCTGCTTCCTGCTTCCTGCAGAGACGCAGCAAAGGCAGGAGCCCCACTCAATAAGCTTGTCAGCTTGTTGGAGAACAGTGTCAGGCCACTCTCTTTTTTACACACACACACACACACACACACACAGAGAGAGAGAGAGAGAGAGAGAGAGAGAGAGAGACGGAGAGAGAGAGACGGAGAGACGGAGAGACAGAGAGAGAGAGAGAAGGGAAGCGCAAGTGCCTCTCTCTGTCCGTCTCTCTCTGCAAATGGCGGAGGAGGACTGGGAGCCGCAGGAGAAGGCTCAAAGAGCCACATGCGGCTCCAGAGCTGCGGGTTGCTGACCCATGGTATAGGTCCTCCTGCTTGAGCAGGGGGCTGGACTAGAAGACCTCCAAGGTCCCTTGCAGCTCTATTTCTATTTCTATTTCTATTCAATTCCCGCAACTGTTCTTTATATCTTTTAGCCTCCAGTCTCCTAAATTTCTAGAGTCTCAACCTCTTTTTTTACGTCGTCGTAAGTCGATGCGTTTAATTAGCTGAATCTGCACACGCACACACCCCTCACAGCACTCTAAAAAGACGCATCGTCTCCCAGGGTGGGCTCCAGCTCTTCTCCCTCTTTCACCCAAGTCCAAGGGTGGGGTCCTCTTGACCAAATCTCCCCCCCACACACACACGCACTCACCAGGATGCTCTTGTAGAGGGTGCCGTTCTGCAGCGCCATGCTGACCCGGATAATGCAGCAGTCGGAGGGGCAGGCGCCCCCCGTGTCGGGGGTCTTGGGGTAGACGGATCCGCAGGAGGCCGAGCGCCGGTGGCCCTTGAGGAAGGTGCCCCCTGTGGCAGGGAGGGGGGCCAGACTGTCCCCGGGCGAGGAGGGGGACGAGGTGTCCAGGGCCGAGACGGAGGACCACTTGCCCTGTGGGAGAGCGGGAGGGAAGTGAGGCCGGAAGGCAGCAGGGTCCGGTCCTGGGTTCAAGGAAAGGGCCCCCCGGGGAAGCCGTCTCCGGCCCTCCTGCTTAGAAAAAGGGGCCGACGTCCCAGGCAAGAGACTGGCCCCGGGGACCCAGGAGGGCCCCTTCCACCCGTGTTACATGCGTGTTCACTGGTCTATCCGTGTTCGGGGCCTCCTTCCTCCTTTAGCATCCTCCTCTTCCTCCTCCTCCTCCTCCTCCCATGTGTCCTTTGGGTTGGGAAGGTACCCCCCCCCGAGCCTCCCCCGCCCCAGGCTTCGCTGCAGGGGCACAGCACGGATTGTCCCAGATGCTGCAGCCAAAGGAGCTGGAGGTTGGGTCTGGATTCGAATTCGGCCATTGCTGGCCGTTGAGGGAAAGGAGATTTTGACATTTCCGGCAACTCCTGCCCTCCTCCCTTTTGGCCCTCCTGTTTTAGGATTTGGGCCTTCCTAAGCCCCAAAGGGGGGAACTGAGGGAAAGTTGTCTAAAATTGTGTCTCCTGCTTAATCCGGGGGGGGGGGCTGGACTAGATGACCTCCGAGGTCCCTTCCGACTCTGTTGTTCTGCGAGGCGGCTTCCTTGAATATGGGTCCCGGTTGGAAGGAGAGAAGCGGCCCTGAAAGGGGCGACGGGGCAGACTCCCCTCCACGCCGGGAGGGGGGGGCTGTCACAAAGCCCTGGGGAGGGGGCTCTTCGAAGTCCGTCGGATCATGGAGAACAAGTTTGGGGGCCCAAACCAGACCCCACGAGAGGAAGAACCCCGCCCTCTTCGTGAAATGTGCTTTGAAATAATACTGAGGACTAGAAACTTGGGGGGGAGGGAGCAAGTTGGATCAGCCACACCTGACTCTGAGGTCTTTGAGGGGGGGTCACCACTCAGCCTCCCCCCCCAGAAGGAGCAGAGTGGAAGAGTCCGGAGGAAGGAGGGGGGCAGTCCCGAGTCACCTGGATGGGTTGGGGGGCCGCCAGGGCAGTGGGGGAGGCGGCCGATGGGTCCAGCAGGCTGGGCGAGACGTGGGGGGACCCCGCTCTGTCCCAGGGCAGGGGGGCGCTCACTCCCAGCGAGGTGATCAAGCTGGAAAAGGAAACAACGGGGGTCAGCGGGAAATGGGGTGCGGGGGCAGAGACCCTCCCCCAGAGATCCTCTCCCTCCCGGTCCTTACTCTGTGCAGCGTGTGATCACCAAGGTGGGCTTGCTGGGCTTGGCGGGGGCCCCTCCCTCGGTGGGGGCCTCGATGGCGCAGGAGAGCCGGTAACTGGAAGGAAGAGACGAGGGTGAATCGGAAAGGGGAGACAACCGGGGGGGTGTCTCTAGGCCCAGCCCCTCCCTTCCCCCCTTCCAGAGCCCCCCCTGCACCCACCTCTGGGCCTCGCTGAGGGGGGGCAGGCACCCCAGCCATCCCTGGAGGGTCCAGTCGGGAGCCAGGGCGTAGTTGCGGCATTTGGCCTGCAGGAGGCGCAGGCGGGTGAGGATCTCGAACTCCTGCAGGGAAAGAGGAGAAGAGGCAGGGGTTGGGGGGTCCTTCCGGTGGGAAGGGGGCAAAGGGGGACCCCCTACTACTCCACAAACACACCCCTGCACCTACCTTGCGGTGCTTCTCAAAGTTGATGTAGCCGCTGTTCTGCAGAGGGAAGCGAGAGGTGCCCGGTCAGCCCCCAGGCCCAGCCTGACCCACACACCCACCCACACACCCACTATCTCCCCCCACCAAGGCTGCACCCCTTTCGGAGAAGGACTACGAGGCCCATAGACCACCGCCCCCCCGAGAGCTGAACCGGTCAGCCGGGGCCCACCGCCTGCACACTACCCCCCCACCGGGCCAGTTGGTCAGCTACAATTGTGTCAGAAAGATGACACAATTTGAGGACCCCCGAGGTCTCTGACTGGCAAATGCCCCCCCCCACGCACAAACACACACCTTCCTCTGGGCTGCCCCCTCCCCCAGTACAAACTCTGCCTATGGCTTTTGGCCGAAAGTTACTCTTCCCCGGTGGAATTCCCGCCTGCGCAGAGCTGTTTGAAAAACAGGGGCAAGCTCTTTGAAGCAGGGAGAGGCACTAAAGCCCAAAGGGGGGGTCCCCAAGACCTTCCAACCGGCCATCCTCTTCTCCCATAATCCACAGCACCATCCAAAGTGGGGGGGGTTGTGTGTGGAGCAGGCTGATGCAACGCTGCACGCACGCACACACACACAACCCTCAGCCTGATCATCGAACGCTTCGGGCACCCAACAGAGGCACCAGCTGTGCTGCTGATGCCCTCTCCCCCCCTCCGGCCTGCAAACCCCTCCCTCAACCCCCAAGTCCCCCCTTGCTGGGGGGGGCACGGCCAAATGCCCTTGCTGGCTCTCACCTGCAGCCGGGTGGGGGTGGCTGCATCCAGCATCACCAGGTCCTTCAGAAAGGTGCCCAGGTAGGGGATCACGCCCTGCAGGGACACCCCCAGGTTAAGGACAGTGGAGCCCCCTCGCCCCCTCCCCAACACCAGCCCCCCCACCCTCCTGGAGACCAGCCCCCCCCTTTACCAATGGGCGCTGCTCCTGCAGCCTCCGCTGATGCTTCCGATGGGGCAGCTCGGCCCCTCCCACCGCTGCTCCAGGGCCGCCTTCCTGGGGGGGCACAAAACGGAAAGAGCTGGGGGGAGGGAAGGAGGGAGAAGCCCCCGGCAGCCCCCCAAAACCCGCAGGAACCCCCATAACACAGCACTGGAATGGGGGAGGCACGACAAACAATCCAGCTTAAATCCACCATCCAGCCAAGCCTCAAGTCCCCTTCGTGGGTCTGGGACACATCATCCCCTGGAGACGATGGGAGTTGGAATCCAAGGACGGTGGCAAGCACCCGTGCTGGGGAGGGCTGGGAGGGGGCGCACACAATCAATCGAGCGAGGAGACCGCCGTTGCGTTTTCCTCTCTTCCAGAAAACGGGCATCAAGGTGGAGAGCGATTAATATTTATATATTATTTATACGTAAGGGTATCAGTATGTACATAGCATACGTGTTGTATGTGGCATGTTTGTGTGTGTGTTATGTATGCGTATGGTTTTGAGAGCAGGCAACAGAATTCCATTGTCAACGTATGCCGGTGTGCCCACAGTAAAAAATGACAATATATTTATTATTTATATATTACTATACTATACTATACTATACTATACTATACTATACTATACTATACTATACTATACTATTAGTATATTATATTATATTATATTATATTAGTATAGTATATTACATTAGTATATTATAGTATAGTATAGTATATATCATATCATATTAATTATATTAAATCATATTAATCATCATATCAATTATATATTATTATATTACATTACTATATTATATCATATCATATCATATTATATATTAATCATATTAATCATATCCTATTAATTATATTATATTACATTATATCATATTAATATTATATATCAATCATATATTATATTACATTATATCATATTAATATTATATTATATTAGTATATTATATATTAGCATATTATAGTATAGTATAGTATAGTATATATCATATATTAATTATATTATATCATATTAATCATATCAATCATATATTATATTATATTACATTACTATATTATATCATATCATATTATATCATATTAATTATAATAATCATATGCTATCAATTATATTATATTACATTATATCACATTAATATTATATCATATCAATCATATATATTATATTATATTATATTATATTATATTATATTATATTATATTATTATTATTATTATTATTATTATTATTATTATTATTATTATTATTATTATTATTATTATTATTATAATTTAATTTATATACCGCCCTTCTCCCGCAGGACTCAGGGCGGTGCACAGCGTATTAAAAACAGTACAAATACAAAACATAAAAATACAAACCCCTATAAAACCAGATTAAAAAAACCGAATATTAGAAGCTGTGTTTCTATTTAAAATTATTTTTAAAATCACCCTAAATAAA